AGGAAAAGCCCCAAAAAAAAAAAAAAAAACCCCTTCCCCAAAAACCAAAAAAAAAAAAAAAAAAAAAAAAAAGTACAACTTAATTTTTTTCATAAATTTAAGAAGTTTGATGTCCCCATAATCCAGCTTTAGATTATTTTCATCACACAGGTAATATCTCTCTTACCCATTTACAGTTAATTTCTATTTCTACCTTTAATCCCAAATAACCACTTGTTGTTTCTGTATAAATATTCCCTTTCACAAACATTTCATGTAGTGAAATACATTTAACTAGTCAACAATCTATGGAGTTAAATGTGGCGTGTGATATAAAATAAATCACGTATATAGAAGTGATTTGTTCTCTTTCAAACTTCCAACTTTCCTGAATTCCGGCTACTAAATATTTCTGGAAAACCCTGTCCTACATTTATTTCCTGTTGCTGTGATTAAATACTCAGAAAAAAAGCATCTTAAAAAGAGAAAGGATTTATTGGTTCACAAGTCTAGGTTACAGTCCATCATGGGGGGAAAGTTAAAGCAGCAGGAACTTGAAGCAACCAGCTACCTTATATCCACTGTTACGAGCTGAGAAATGAATTCATGCGTGCACTGCTCAGCTAGCTTTCTCGTTTTTATTCTGTCTGGAACCCCAAGCCCAGGGAATGGTGCTGCCCACAGTGAAGAGAGGTAATTAAGGCATTCTCAGAAGCCCTTCTTCCAGGGATTCTGGATTGTGTTTGATGATTAAAAGTAATCACAAAGCAAGAAGATCATTAATAAAGAAATCTGTAAAATCCGAGGCCAGCCTGGTCTACAAAGTGAGTTTCAAGACAGTCCAGGCTGTTAACGTAGAGAAACCCTTAAACACACAAAAGTAATTTCCCTAAGACCTTAGTAGAGTAGTGGGGATTATAGTAAGTCACATTGTTCTTGTTAACATTGTGTTGTTATAACTTCTAATTATGGTGACTCGTTTTTTTGTTTTGTTTTTTTCCATTACACAAGCTACAGGTAAACTAATTCTAACGTCTTGGTGTATTTCAGAATCAGGGTCTAAGCGTGAGACCAAGAAGTTACCACCAAGTCAGTGTAACAAACCTAAGCAAAGTATCCGTCAGAAACCAGTGTCTTCACAGCAAAAGGGCTCCTCAGGGAAGACAAAACAAAACAAAAATTCATTGGTAAGAAAACCCAAGAAAGGACATTCGGGCAAGAAATCTTTAAAGTGTAATGACTGTGGAAAAACGTTTTCTCGAAGTTTGTCTTTTAAACTTCATCAAGACTTTCACGCTGGAGAGAGAGCGTATGGATGCAGCCATTGCAATCAAGCTTTCAGACAGGTCTTATCCCTCATTCTTCACCAGAGAGCTCACGATCAGAAAAAAGGCTACGAATGTGATAAGTGTGGGGAAAGTTTTAATAGAAAGTTAAGCCTTCTGATACATAGGAGAATTCATAATGGGAAGGAAAATTGTAGCCACGAGAAGGCCCCAGGTTCATGCCCGTCGCTCAGTGTGCACCATAATAATCTCATTGTTGAGGGTGTCCACCAGTGCAGGGAATGTGGGAAAGCCTTCGGCCGGATGTCGTCCCTTTTACTTCATAAGAGAATTCACAGTAGAAAGAAGAGGCAGAGGTATAATAAATACGGGAGAGGCTTCAAAAAGAAGACAGCCCTTGTAAATACAAAACTCTGCATTGGAAAGAAAACCCATGAAAACAAGAAGGCCTTAAGTCAGCGTCTCAAGCAGGGAGCTCACCGTTTAGAAAATCCTTTTACATGTAGAAAGTGTGGGAAGTCCTTCCGTAGGGCCACAACCTTGATGCTTCATCAGCGGGTTCACACCGCAGGGAACCCCTACAAATGTGATAAATGCCGGAGAGACTTTAGACGGCTTTCCACCCTCATTCTGCACCTGAGGACTCATAACGGGGAGAAGCAGCCGTTTAAGTGCAGTAAATGTGACAAGGTCTGCAATCGGTACTCATCCTTTATCCAGCACCAGAAAGTCCACAAAAGGAAAAAGAAACTCATCGAGTGTAAGGAGTGTGGGAAGAGATTTTGCGGCATTAAGAACCTTAAGGTGCATCTGAACATCCATTCAGAAGAGAAACCCTTCAAATGCAATAAATGTAGCAAGGTTTTTGGCCGCCAGTCATTTCTTATTGAGCATCAAAGAATTCACACCGGGGAAAAGCCCTATCAGTGCGAAGAGTGCGGGAAGGCCTTCAGCCACCGGATCTCTCTTACCCGACACAAGCGAATCCACAGTGAAGACAGGCCTTATGAGTGTGACCAGTGTGGGAAGGCCTTCAGCCAGGGCGCTCACCTTGCCCAGCACGAAAGGATTCACACTGGAGAGAAGCCCTACGAGTGCAGAACATGTAAGAAGTCCTTCACCCAGCGCATATCCCTCATTCTGCACGAAAGAAGCCACACGGGGGAGAAGCCCTATGAGTGCAGCGAGTGTGGGAAGGCCTTCAGTAGTGGCTATCAGAGAAGCCATTCTTTGGAGAAACCGTACGAATGTAACAAGTGTGGCAAGGCTTATAGTCGGAGCTCATCTCTCATTCGGCACCAGAGCACTCATTCAGAGGCAAAACCCTGAAGTTTTGCGCTCATCCGAGCGAAAGCTAACAAGTACGTCAGAGAAGTGTTCTGAGGCACGGAGAATGTAAGTGTTGTCATACATCAGACGTATGTCCTGATGTACTCCCCACAAGCTGAAACACTTAAAACAAACGTATTTCATATGCCCACCCTACCAAATGTCATCGTTTAGCATAACGGGGAGTCCCGGTTGTTCACTCTCCGGATTGCATGGCTTCCTGGGGGCTATGGCCTGGTCCTGCGGGCCAGCATCTGGAGAGTAAATACTGCTTACTGCTTACTGCAGCCTAGGGAAAGATCACCACTTCTAGCCTAATGGATATCACTCCTGTGCCATCGTAACACTAAAACGTCCTAAATCAGAAATCATTCATGGGAGGGAGGGAATTACCCGCCTGTAGCATGTTTCGCGTGTACGAGGCCATTTCACGATGCCCTCCCTTTGCAAGCCAAAGAGCAAGAGTAGTTGGTGGATCTTGAACTGAAGATCTGAAATCATCTGAGGTGTGCTCAGGACATTGGATCAGGGTTTGTGAATGAAGGTGTTTTTCAGTTGGTATTTTATTTCCAGTGTTGCTTTGAGGACAGTTCACTAGATCCATACAGTGTCATGGGACTGCAAAGTCCATTTTTTTTTCTAAACGGTGCTTTGAGCCCTTCTAGTTGAGGTCCCAGGAAAATGGACCTCAGAACTAGAACTCCGTATGTTAGGAACTAACAGTCAAAGGGGAACAGGGTGCCTCTTTCTCCTGACAGAAATGTGTTGGGGTGAGAACAAAGATGAGTGTGTCTTTAGGTTGTTAAAGATAGCAGTCACGGTGGTCTGGAGCAGTAGTCAATGCCACGCTGCCTCCATGGCTGTGAAGACACACCGAGAATTTAGTAGGACCAGGCCAGGCCCGGGAGTGGGGTGCACAGGAGGTACTCAAGAATCAGAAAGTTCAGAGCAGGGAGAAGTGATTTTTTTACCTTTTTTATTTGAAAATAAATAGTCTATATTTATATAAACAGCATTTTCTTGTAATGGTGCTAGTTGGTATACAAAAAGTAACTGTGTGTCTGTGTTTTTATGGTCTGAATATATGTGTCACCCCAAAACTCATATGTTGAAGCCCTAACCTCTCAGTGTGATGATGTTTGGAAATGAGGGTTAATGAAGTCATGATGCAGATAGGCCTTTTTGATACATATATCGATCAGAGACACCAGAGGGCTTGATCTCTTTCTGTACCCGGTGAGAACCCAGGCCGCCATCTGCAAACCAAGAAAAAACCCTTGCCAGAACCTGCCCAGCGTGATAGCCTGACCTTGGATTCCCAGCCATTGAAGGAACTGTGAGAACCTCATTTCTCTTTAACTCAGACAGGCTGTGATACTGAGTCCTAACAGCTCGAGCTGATTAACACAAGGAAGAACTCCTGGGTTAATGGGCTGGCTGTTTCCAACATGTTCAGGGTATTTTCCTGCCCCTCTTTCCAGCTTGTGTAAGTTATGTAAGAAATAAACTCTGAGTTCTTTTGTGTGATTAGATTGTATATGATCAGGCTCTTTCGTATGAGTTTTCCTGCCGCAAAAGCTATTTAGGAGAACACCTGTTTCTTGTTAAGAAAAGTTGATAGTGTGGACTGTGTGTGTGTGGGAGAGAGAGTCTAATTTTGATCACTACTGTTGGGGTTTGAATAAGAAGTGTCCACCATTGGCTTATCATCCCCAGCTGGTAGGAGGCCTTACTGGAGGATCATGGGAGTATGTGTGTGTCTTTGGGGACTGTGTCATGTCCCATCCTCTCTTAAATTTTTTTTTTTTTTTAGGAATTTAAAATTTTCCTTTATATGTATGAATATGTGATAGAAGATATGTGTAGACCCACAGCCACACATTAGCCAGAGCTTAGGGAACCCTGAGGAAGAGGGGGAGGAAGGCTTGTAGAAGCCAGGGGGGTCAAGGACACCAGGAGAACACAGCCCACAGAATCACCTAAGCAGGACTCAGAGGGGCTCACAGAGACTGAAGCAGCAGTCTCGGAGCTTGCCTCCGTGCTTGGTCCTCTCCATATGTTATGGTTGTTTAGCTAGGGGGTTTTGTGGGACCCCTAACAGCCGGAGTGGGGAGGTGTCTCTGACTTTTGCCTGCTCTTCAGACCCTTTTCCTCCTCCTGAGTTGTGTGAACCAACCTTGATATGAGGGTTTGTGCCTAGTCTTACTGTAACTTGTTATGCTCTTTTGGGTTGATATTCCAGGGAGGCCTACTCTTTTCTGAAGAGAAATGGAGCATCTGGGGACAGGGGTGTGGTTAGGGGACCCAGAGGAGAGGAAGACGAAGCCAAGTCTGGATGTGTTGTATGAGAGAATAAAGAGTTTTAAATATTTATACATACGAATGTTTTGCTTGCATGGGTTCGTGTGCACCATGCACATGTCTGGTGCCCTCGGAGGCCAGAAGAAGGCATCGATCGGATTCCCTGGAACTGGAGCTATGGTTGTGAGTCACCGTGTGGGTGCTGAGAATCGAACCTGTGCTCTAAACCGCTGAGCCATTTCTCCGTCCCCTCTCCCCTCTCAAGTCAATCAGTTTTTAGTATTTTGTTACAGCAGCTCAAGCTGACTAATACATTGGGGAGCTTTCACAAGCACCTTCTCTACCCCTCCCCTTCCCCCTGTTTTCTGATTACCAAGTGAGCCCTCTGCCCGGCCTACCCTGCTCACCCTCCTAGGATGGACTAAAAACAAAGTAAATCTTACCTCGTTTTACTCGGGTATTTGTCTCAGCAAGAAAAAGTCTAATGCAAGAAAAATAAAAAAAAATATGGAAGTTCAACTTGCAGGCAGGGTAAAAGCAGCTGGCGTGCTGATTTAAATGTTAAATTTTCAGATACGTGAACAAAAAAAAAAAATCACTGCAGCAAAAGGGTAAAGAATGGAACAGAAGTGGATCAAGGAGAGGCATGTTTGTCTGTCTCCATTTCTGCCCTGCTTCACCCCTGCCCAAATCTGCATTCTCTCATCTGCCTGGAAGGTTGGTTCCAGGTCAGCGTGTCCCTAGGAGGATGCCATCTGGCATGTGTGGCTTGGTGGCAGAAGAAGCACGTGTATTGTACTGTGATAAAACACCGACTAAAAAGCCGGGCGTTGGTGGCATTGCACGCCTTTAATCCCAGCACTCGGGAGGCAGAGGCAGGCGGGTCTCTGTGAGGTCGAGGACAGCCTGGTCTCCAGAGCAAGTGCCAGGACAGGCTCCAAAGCTACACAGAGAAACCCTGTCTCGAAAAACAAACAACCAAAAACAAACAACAACAACAACAAAAAATGCTGACTAAAAGCAACTCAGGAAGAAAGGTTATTTGGCATACACTTCCAGGGCAGGGTGGTCCATCATTGTAAAGTCAGGGTAGGAACTCAGAAGGCAGAAACTGGAGAAATGCTGTTTCCTGGCTGGTTCTCAGGCTCATGCTTAGCTAGCTACCTCATAGTGTCCTGCCCAGAGAATGGTGGTATCTCACCCACAGACATCAATTTCCAATTAAGACAATCATGCCCACAGTCTGATCTGGGCAGTTCCTCAACTGAGACTCCCAATGATTCTAGGCTACAAGCCTGACAACAGACTTAAGTTCAATCCCTAGGGCCCAATTCCTGCAAATTGCCCTCGTGCACACACAATAAAATGAAATCTTTTAAAAGAATATATAAGATTGAACTACCAGAAAGACACCTTAAATGCAGGAATTAAATATAAAATGATGTGTGTGTGTGTGTGTCAGGGGGATAGGTGGTATAAACACTTGAAAAGCTGAAACCAAAACAATATGAATAAAGGATAAGAAGTTATAGAGTAGTTGCCTAGCATGTAGTGAGGCCCTGGGTTCAATACTTAGAATAGAAAAAGAAAAGCTATAATAAAGGGGGGGGGGGTCAGTTCCCAAAACCACATAATTTTAAGCCAGGCATTGGTGGCACATGCCTTTTGGGAGGCAGAGGGAGACAGATCTCTGTGAGTTAGAGACCAGCCTGGTCTACAAGAGCAAGTTCCAGGGCAGGTTCCAAAGCTACACAGAGAAACCCAGTCTCGAAAAACAAAACTACAACAACAACAAAAACACCACGTAATTTTAAATGGACAGAAGTTGACTTACAGAGGTACAAACTCAATGAAGTTAAAGAGCCAATAGAAGCAAAAGGAGAAATAGATCTGAAAAATGCAGGCAGGTAAGCACTGGATGGCTTGGCAACCGGGATCCCCACTTGCCTTGAGCTACCCACATATCTTATTAAAAAAAAAAATAAAACTGTTTCCCAACTTTACCTTCAAGCTACATGCATGTTACACCTGCAGAACATAAGCACAAGGACCTAAATTCAGATCTCCCAACACCCATGTAAGTCAGGCATGGCAGCACATGCCTGTGACCCCAGTTCTGGGAGGTAGAAACCGGTGAATCCGGGGGGCTTGGTGGTCAGACAGAATAGTTGAAAAGGTGAGCTCCAGGTTCATTGAGAGACCCTCTCAAAAAAAATAAATACATAAAAAAGTAAGGCCAGGTATGGCATATGCCTTTAATCCCAGAACTCAGGAGGCAGAAGTAGGAGGATCCTTATGAGTTCAAAATTAGATAGGACTACTTACAGATAGTTCCTAGTTAGCAAAAACAAAAAGTAGGGGGCTGGAGAGATGGCTCGGTGATTAAGGGCACCTGGTTCCCTTCCGAAAGACTCACTTTCAGTTCTCAGTACCTGTAGTGCAGCTCCAGTTCCAGGAGCTCTCGTGCCCTCTTCTGGCCTCCAAAGGTACTAGGCACTCATGTGATGCACAGACAAACATGTTGGCAAAACACCCATCCATACACATATGAATAAAAACACAAGTCTGGGGAGATAACGCTGGTAAAACACTTTCCACAAAATCCTCGAAACCTTAATTGGATCCCTAGGACCCATGTTAAAGTCAGATATGGTAGCACCCATGTCTGTAATCCCTATTCTTTTTTTTAAACTTTTTTAAAGATTTTATTTATTATGTATACAGCTGTCTGTCTGCCTGCATGCCAACAGAAGGCACTAGATCTCATTCAAGGTGATTGTGAGCCACCATGTGGTTGCCGGGAATTGAACTCAGGACCTCTGGAAGAACAGTCACTGCTCTTACCCTCTGAGCCATCTCTCCAGCCCCAATCCCTGCTCTTATAAGTAACCCCTCATCCTCACTCCTGTTAGCAACCCCAATAAAAACTCATTTGGGGGCTGGAGAGATTCCCAGCACCCTCATGTTGGTTCAGAACCATCTATAACTCACCTTCCAGGGGATCTGACACCCTCTTCTGGCTTCCTCAGGCCAGAAGACATGTAGACAAAACACATGAAATACAAATTTTTAAAAAAATAAAATAAGATAAAAATAAAACAAAAACCACCCCAAAAACCTCATTGATTTACCAAATTGGATTTTGATGCAATCATACTGTGGTCTGTAGTGGGTTCCCTTTCTAGGATGAGTAGACGTGTGTGTGTGTGTGTGTGTGTGTGTGTGTGTGTGTGTGTGTGTGTGTGTGTTGCATCTCCCCAGGAAAGTCCATCATACAACAGGGTTCTGCAGGGTGGTTCCAGGAAGTTATCATTGTAGGGAAGCATTGTTGTTCCCATAATATCACGTGAGTTAGGCATCAGGAGGCTTCAAGTTACTGAGGGTGGACCCATCCCTCAGTAGCAGCAACCCGTAAAACCAGGAAACAAAAATGCAAGACTCTGTCAGTCAAAACAGTGCGATCGAAGACCAATCTCTGGCCTCAGGTAAAGGCATGGCATTTTGAACTGCTCAGAAGGGTTTTCTGGTAAGGAACAGAGATATAGCATTGTTTCCTCCCTTGAGAGTCAATCCAAATGGGCCTGTCAATCATACAGAAAACTGCAGTTGGTGAAAACTTTCTGTTCTAGAGACAATAGAAGCAATATTAAGTCTGCCTAGCTTTCTGTGGTTATTGTTTACTTCCATCTCACAAATGTTCCCTTTGGGAGTGTTGTACTTTGCCTTTTTGTTGTTATTGTTTTTTGTTTGTTGTGTTTATTTTTCTAGACAAGGTTTCCCTGTATAACAGTCCAGGCTGTCCTGTAACTCATTTTGCAGATTGGGTTGGCCTCAAACTCAGAGGTCCATCTGCCTCTGCCTCCTGAGTGCTGGGATTAAAGGTGTGCATCACCACACCTGTCCTGTATTTTGCCTTTTTTAAATGCAAACAGCAAGAGGCTTTATTGTAGTTGTTTAATGAGCTAACCCCATGTTAGCTCAGGTCTTTCATTCACCCCCCATGGCAGATGGCTAGGAAAGACAGCTCGAAGCATCTGCATAGAGATCTTGTAGGGCAGCATAAGGGGAGTGTCTAGGGGTGCACACAGGCTCAGGATTGGTGTGCCTCCAGGCTTGGAGGGTTTGCCCTGTGTTGATTGGCCAACTGGTTGTTATGGCCCATAGGCCCTCCCAGGGTGGTTGCTATGCTCTGTGCGTCATTCCTGTGCGCTTGTCCATAAAGCACACCCAGATCCGTAAAGCATAGCGCCACCAGCTAACTTCTGATTGGTTCCTTGCCACGAGGCAGGGATCTGACCTCCTAGTAACCAAGGCAAGGGCAGGGCAAGCACGTGTTCGGCTGTTATGGCTGCCAAAATGGGGAGCTGGTCCCTTCATTCCCCCATTTTCTTTTTTTGGAGGTTCCAAAGACACATCTGAGTATCAGCTGCTGACTACAGGCGGTTCTAAGTAGACTGCGAGCCCTGGACTTGCTGTGGATGTGAACCAGTCCAGCTGATATGGACATGCCCTGTCTCTGCAACAGTGTCTGCTAACCAAAGCTCCTGATGGATTCCCCATTGCCTAAATTCCCTTTTTGCTTTTGACTAGCATTTCAGCCTTCTTGGGTCCATAACTTTGTCCCAAAGTCAGCAGGAAGTAGCATGGGAAAGAATACGTTGCCCATTTTCCCTGGTTGAAATGCTAAGTCAGAAGGAACTCCCTTACATAGGGGATGCCAAGATCTCTTACTCCCTGATGGGGACGCTTGAGATAGGACTTTGCCTTTTAATGGAGACCTGTTACCTCTGCGATGCTGTGTGTATCTTGTCTGAATTCTTTCTATAGAGATCACATAGATTAGGATGCTGAGGGAAGCTGGAGCTAGAGCTTTGGTAATACTTAAGATGATTATCCTTGGTCCAGGGAACACTCTGACCATCATATGGGGTCTTCATCCTTTGTCAGAAAAAACATGTGTACACGCAGTCATGTGTGTGCACGTGTGTGTGTGTGTAGGAGGTATGTGTGCATCATGTGTCTGGAAGTTGATGTCAAGTGATCTCAATTGTTTCCATTTTTTTGGTGGGGGGGGTTTCAACACAAGGATTCTCTGTGTAGCTTTGGAGCCTATCCTGGCACTCGCTCTGGAGTGTGTGCTCCCTGGAACTCACAGAGATCCACCTGCCTCTGCCTCCCTGAGTGCTGGGATTAAAGGCGTGCGCCACCAACACCCGGCCCCCATTGTTTCTTTTAAGAGAGATTTTTTTTAAAAGATTTTATTTATTATGTATACAGTCTTGTGCCTGCATGCCAGCAGAGGCCACCGGATCTCATTCAAGGTGGTTGTGAGCCGCCATGTGGTTGCCGTGGTTGCCAGGAATTGAACTCAGGACCTCTGGAAGAACAGTCAGTGCTCTTAACCGCTGAGCCATCTCTCCAGCCCTTAAGAGAGATTTTTGTATGTTGTGCATGTGTTATGAGTTTTGACTGCATGTCGGTGTGTGCACCACTTGCCTGCACTGCCCATGGGGTCGTAAGAGGACATCAGAAACCGTGGAACTGCAGTTCCAGGTGGTAGTGAGTGAGCCACCATGTGGGTGCTGGGAACTGAACCTGGGTCCACTGCGAGAGCAGCCAGTGCTCTTGACCGCTGAGCCCACTCCGCAAAGCCCTAGTGTCTATTCTTATGTCCTCTCTGAATGAAATTACTGAAAAGGGTGGCTCAAATTTTGGGCACGTTCAGGCACATCTTTCTGTTATCTGTTTCTAAGGTCACTCCATTCTGGACAGAAAACGTTTCACAAGACTTGAGTTCTTTTGAATGAACTGAGATGTAGGACTGGAGAGATATCTCAGTGGTTACCAGCATCCATGCTGGGTGGGGCATCAACAGGTGTGACTCCAGCTCCAGGGAATCCTGTGCCTTCCTCTGGCCTCTTTAGGCACTTGTAAGTGCGCGATCTTGTGCGCGCACACATACACACACACACACACACCCCTTCAAAACAATTGGAGATGTGTGGAATTTGTTTTTCTGACACAGGGTTTCTCTGTTTAACAGGCTGCTCTAAAACTCGTTTTGTAGACCAGGCTGGCCTTGAACTCACAGAGATTGGTCTGCCTCTGTCTCCCAAGTGCTGGGATTAAAGGCGTGCGCCACTACTGCTTGGCTGGAGATGTGTTTTAAGGCCTTAGCTGTGGTACATCTTGGTAAGTGCTCTAGGTCGCTGATAGTTACTGATTAGATTTTCTGCTTGTTTAATAATTACCTGTTTTTCATTTGTCCACATATTACACACACACACACACACACACACACACACACACACACACACACACAGGCTCAGTAAATTCTACCTTGGAGTGATTGCTTTTCTCTAAAAAGCAAGTGTGGCTTCATAGAACTTGAATAATGAAGTTAACATGTTTTCCTCTTTTTTAATTTAATGTCAACCCAACTGCATTAGATGTCACTCATTTAACACACACACACACACACACACACACACACACACACACACACACAGAGTCTTGTGTAGCCCAGGCTGGACTTGAACTTGCCATGTAGCCAAGGATAACCTTGAACTTTGGTGCCCATCTTCTGTGGTCCTGGAGCCTGAGTCCGGGACTGAGCATGGTAATGGAGCACTTTATAGGCCTCGAGGCATCCTCCGTCTCCAATTTCAGTATTTCTAATTAAAACCAAAGTTATAATGCCCCAGGTCTGTGTTGCTTCTTTATGATTAAAACGATCAACTCTTCTTTGTGTTGCATCATATTTTTATTATAGATTAATATAATTTTACACTAGGCACTCTGCTAAGAAATTTCCATGCATTGTTCACTTCTCCCAATAACTTTTGAGGTAGAACCATTATAAGCATCGTTAATCTCATAACATAAATAAGTCTGAAGGTTACAAAGGACCAAATGCTCTAAACTCAGGGATGGAAAATGGGAGGGCAAGGACTAGAGTCTAGATCTATGAATTCTGGATGTACAGAGGGGATATTGGCATGAAGGCTTTAGAAGGTAGTTTGAAACAAGGTACTGGGGACAAGGTGGCCTGTTAGGTTACTTTAAGGGCTGTGTGCTTCTTCCCCAGGAACTTTTAGATGTCAGTTAAGTAATCTTAAGTAATGAAGGATAAACAGGATGACCAAAAGGTGCTTTGCAAAAGTTTGGCTCAAGTGTCAAGACCGACAGAGGCGTGGGGGAATACCCTGGAAAGCTACTGCCGTATTCCACATGAAACAGATTTGACACTGGAAGACAAGGAGGGTGAAATATAAACGGTTCTAGCGGGTCAGATTTTGATCATATTTAGGAGATCAAACCCATCTATAGCTATTGGCAACTGACTGGATGTCGAGGGTGATGGAGTGGACAGGGCCAAGAATGCCTCCATAGTATGGACCCTCTCGTGATGAACGAGGTGTGCACGCTGCCTGAAGGACTTCCTGCAGTCTTTACATTCGTACGGTCTCTCCCCGGTGTGGATTCTCTGGTGGAGAGTAAGAGATCCACTGTAAGTAAAGGCTTTCCCACAGACGCTACATTCGTACGGCTTCTCTCCTGTGTGGACTCTTTGATGCTGAGCAAGGCCTGCATTCTGGCTAAATGTCTTCCTACATTCCTTACACGTGTAGGGTTTCTCTCCCGTGTGGCTTCTCTGGTGCTGGGTCAGCGATGAACTGTTGCTGAAAGCCTTTCTACATTCCGAACACTCATAGGGTTTCTCTCCGGTGTGGACCCTCTGATGCTGATCAAGGTAAGCAATCTGACTAAAAGCTTTCCCGCAGACTTTACATTCATAAGGCTTCTCTCCGGTATGGACTCTCTGGTGTTGAGAAAGGTGGGCGTACTGGCTGAAAGATTTCCTGCACTCCTTACACTCATAGGGTCTCTCTCCGGTGTGAATTCTCTGATGCACAATCAGGTATCCACGGTGACTGAACGCCTTCCCACACACATTGCACACGTACGGTTTCTCTCCTGTATGGATCCGCTGATGCTGAGCAAGAAACGAGCCGTTGCTGAAGGCTTTCCCGCACTCCGCACACTCGAAAGGCCTCTCTCCGGTGTGAATTCTCTGATGCTGAGTCAAGTGGGCAATCTGGCTGAAGGCTTTCTTACACTCTTTACACTGATACGGCTTCTCTCCGGTGTGAACCCTTTCATGCTGGGCAAGATGTGCATTCTGGCTGAAGGTCTTGCGACACTCTTTACACTCGTACGGTTTCTCCCCAGTATGGGTCCTCTTATGCTGAGCCAGGTTCGCGCTCTGGCTGAAGGCTTTCCCACATTCAATACATGCGAAGGGTTTCTCTCCTGTATGAATTCTCTGATGGAGAGTAAGGGACGAACTCTGGTTAAAGACTTTCTCACATTCATTACACTTGAGGACTTTCTTTTCTACGTGGACCTTCTTACGATTCATTCCGACAGACTTTTTCCGGTGACTTCTCTTTGGTGGCTCACATGGATGCGTTCTTTCTTTGGTAGAGAAACTTTGGGGTTTATCTAGTATTGCATCCTGACAGAATGATTGCCAAGGTGGACTACCCCCAAGGCTTTGACCTTCAGGGAGGTCTTTATGAATGATGAGTGGCTCATTCGAGGGCACCTCCTGACCGTCCAACTTGTTCTTAAACCAGTCTTCAATTGCACGGTCTTCCTCCAAATTGGCACAGTCGGGGCTGTAACTAAGATGGCTTCTTTCTGTCCGTAGGACTTTGGCTGATTCTTCACAAATATCTTGCTTTGATGAAAGTTCAATGCCTTTGAATACATAATCCCAATCTAAAGGATACCAAGAAAACATGTTTTAAAATTCATTCATTATAAGAAAAGAAAGTGATCAGAGAAAGTAAAATATAAGAGAAAGTAAAGTATTTAACATCTCTTAATGCATCTTAAAAACCAAAGTAAGAAAGGGGATTAAGTTGGGCACAGTGGTTCACACCTTTAATTTCAGTACTTGGGAGGCAGACACAGGTTGTTCTCTGTGAGTTCGAGGCCAGCCTGGTCTACACAGTCAGTTCCAGGACAGCTAGAGCTACTCTATAGTTAATTTTTACCCTGTAGGAAATGTTTCTGAAAATTTTTCTTCATGATAAGTTCTAAAATATAAATTTTCAGTTGATTCCTGAAGCCACAATGTCTTCATGAAAACATCATTTCCTATCAAGCTGCTTGGTTTTATTAACTTAGCAAAGGCTTTGAGTTCTCTTTAGTCCCAAATAAGATTACCTCTTTTAAAGACTACACTTATATGTGAGAGGCATTGGTGGCGCACACCTTTAGTCCCAGCACTCGGGAGGCAGAAGCAGGCGGATCTCTGTGAGTTCAAGGCCAGCCTGGTTTACCAGTGGAGACAGGCTCCAAAGCTACACAGAGAAACCCTGTCTCGAAAAAACAACAACAAAAAGACACAAAGCTGGCCTGTGGTGGGAATGGCTGATGGTGGGAAGCGAACAGGAAATCTCTCTCACTCGGGGAGGCCATCTGCCTGGAGCCCTCTGTCCATCAAAAGCTCCTGGTTCCCGAGATGCCCTTGTCAGTGCGAGCCTCTGACCTGATGCTCCAAGGCCTCTCTGCGGCTTGCTTGTTTATGCTTCGTCTGCGGCAGGCTGTGTCCCTAATAAACTCACTCACTCTAAAGCAGCCTGTTGGGTCGTCGGCTGCGTGGACCACATGCTGCAACAAAACCC